GATCTCGTATAGAAAACTGTTTCACGCGTATATAAAACAGGTCCGCGGCTCCAAACCGTAGTAAAGGGACCTCTGGCTAATACGTCGGGCTCGTAGCCGAAAAATAGCTTTACTTTGTTGTCTGGGTCAAGTTTTAGAAAGAGGCGTTGAAAGGCTGCTCCAACGGAGCTTATTGTTTCAGAGGAAAACACGAACAGTCGAGTCTTAACAGCTTACTTACAGCTGGGCTCGTCAGGCGCTCTTCTTGGCTGCAGTGGTTATTATTATATTTACATGCTTCCAGCTCCCGTTTCTGCTCGGTGACAGCTCATACTTTTCCTTTCTCTTCCTCCTCACTCACAGACACATAACGGGTATGGCAGTCCATCCTCCCTGCTGCATGGACTACACTGCCCATCAGGCTGCATGCTTTAGGGCGATGCCTGTAACACTCTGCCTTCATATTAAATCATTTTTGTGAATAATTCTTTAACGTATTTCTTCACGTCATTATGCTTCTGCAAGCAGTGGTGACACGGGCGGCGAGATTGAGACACAGACATTAGAGCCTCTTAATGCCTGTTTTGTTTGGGTTTCCACCAGCGTGGAACTGAAAATAGAGAGGGCAAAGCCGAACATATGAAACAGGAAAAGACCGCCGTGTAATCCCTTTATTTCAGCAAAGTAACTGTATTCTGAATACCACCTTTTTAAACGGTAACTGTAACAGAATACAGTTACTCATAGTTTGTATTTTAACTACGTAATGGCGGTACATGTATTCCATTACTCCTCAATACTGGTGATCATTCAGATGCTTGACTATAAGATGAACAACGGCTACAAGGAGCCGTACCCTCCATGGAAAACTGGAAATCAAGGCTGCATGGAGGGAGGTTAGCCAACTATCAGAATGGCAGAAAGGATTAATGAAGATTGTACCTGAGGCCTTAGAGACAGTCAAACAAAGACTCAAAGCCTTGGCTAACTGCTTGAACAAGACCGATAGGACCCAGGAGAATAAACCAGCCCTGCCCCACTGAACTATCCAAGCTGTACTCTCAGTAGTAGGGAAGCAATGTGAGAACAACCCCATAGAGTCTGGAGACGGAGCAATACTGGAAGAACATATAGGAGAAGGACACAACATATAACAACAATCCTTATTGACTAGTGGATCTAAGAATAGACCACAGCAACCTCCCTAAACAGGACCAACCATCACAATGGCAGAAATCCAAGAAAAGGTTTCCACTATAAAGAGTTGGACAGCAGCACACCCTGACATGATTCACTCCTGCTGGCTAAAGAAGCTAACTGCACTCAGTGAATGTCTAGCAGCACAAAGGAACCAGCTGCTACCGGATGAGATGCACCCAAAATTAAGGCCGGACAGCCCTTATCCCCAAGAAACCCAGGAGTACATCAGGAAGATGGCCACAACCAACCACGTGCTTGGTGAGAAACCAGAGAAAGAAGAGGAGCAAGGAGAAGAACCATAATGGACCAGGTAGAGGAAGTGTCTGACAGCACAGAGGCTGGGGTCTATCACACCAGGCAAGACCCCAGGTGCAGGCTGGTGCAAGATGCTAGCATACATGGAACACCATAACCAAGCGGCTGCCATAGTATACCGAAACATCTGTATACTATCACGCCCTAGAGTGATTGAAAATGACCGAGCTAAGATTCTGTGGAACATGTACAGACAAACGGTGATGGCTAACCAACCGGGCTTTCAAAACATGAGATTTAAAATGTGTAACTAACAGATATCAGGAAGAAGGAATATGGGTGGCTCAAGAAGTCCCAATGATTGAGAGAGGAGCGAGAGAAGATGTGGAAGGTGAACGCATTAGTAGTCCCCGTGGTAATTGGAGTACTCGGGGCAGTGACGCCCAAACTGGGCGAGTGGCTCCAGAAGAGCGCAGTCTTAAGTACATCAAAGATACTGCACAGGAAAAAGATACTCAGATAGTAATCTGAGAATCTTTTTAAAAAACGTTAGCACTCATATTCCCTACCAAATTTGATAAGAACTGATTATTTAATGTGTGATGTATTTCCTAAGAATGTTTAAATCTCCTTGTGCTACTAAGTAAAGAGAAACTGGAGCATCAGAGTCAGTATGTCACTCGTTTTGTGAAACCTGTGCTGTTATGGTCGAACAAAAAGCGATGATTGGTTGCAGCACGTCTTTCTGGAAAGTCAACATTCTAACTGTATGAGCTTCATGACTTTTCCTGTACAGTACATGTGCCAGACTGTGATCCTGTGCTGACAGGACTGTCTGGTAATCACACAGCTGTTTGCTTGGTTCCAAAGAATGACTTCCCTCCATAATATGAACCAACTACAAAAATGCATCAAGACGAAAACTAGAAAAATGACAGTTTCTTTGCTCAATTTTAAATATTTTCCTCCTGTCAAGTGATGCTGTAGCAGTTTAAAACATCTTTGCACAGGTTTCAGTTATTATTCAGAATCATTTCTGTATGTTAGAGCCGTAAAGTTTAAAGTGATAGGTTGAAGTTTGTTGGGGTTGTTTTTTTTTCATTGCACAAATGAACATGAACGCCAGTTTAAAGGAAAATGTAATTTAGAAATGAAACTGATATGATGTGATAATAATGCTGCGTGCAGTATTTGAGCCCAGGAGCATCTTTGTGTGTAGATGTTACCAGTTTGGCGTATTTATATTCCACCTGTGCTCTTTTCTTTAACAATGCAGGTACCTGTTTCGCAGTGGAAATATCGAGACCAATGGAGATAAATTCTTCAATACAACAGTGGAAGTACTGACTAGCAGTGTGAGTAACGTGTGTAAGATAAGATAGAACTTTATTAATCCCTCGGGTGGGTTCCTCTGGGAAATTCGGTTTCCAAAAGCACAGCACCGACAGAAGTTACAGAGTTACAGAATATTATATATATATAATAACACACACACACACACACACACACACACACACACACACACACACACACACACACAAATATAAATACAGAGACAAATATAAATAAAATATACGAAGGGGATAAATAGAATAAATAGGAATAAAAATAAAAATACAAGTGAATTGCACATTTCAAGTATTGAGTCTATTGCACCATTGACTATTAACAAAAAGTATTGCACAAGGTATTGCACAGTGAGGTGAAGAGGCACTACAGCTTAGTTGTTCCCTTAGTTGTGTGTGTGTGCTTATTTTCTGGGCGTGTATTCTTTAGTTCTAATGTTGCGGTTGACTGGGTCTTGGTTTTCATCTCGGGTGTTGATGAAAAGAGTAGCAAGGCAACAAGAAACATCTACCACAACAAGCTATCTGCTATCAGCCTGCTGCCTCTATTTAGCCGTGTGTGTGTGTGTGTGTGTGTGTGTGTGTGTCAGTCACGCTGAAAGGGAAAAGTGTTCAGGCCAGCGGTGGCCTTTGAGTAAAGTTAGACAGACATGGAATCCCTGTGTGGAAGATAAGAGGGAAACCTCATCGTTTAGTTTCAGGTCCACAAGCTTTTCAGTTCACAATAACAACAAACAAACAAACAAAGGATTGGAACAAGATTTCCGTTTTTATTTTTTATTATGAAATATCCAGTGCTAGATGTGGTTCCTTAAAGGCCAGGACAGTTGATTCTGCTCATCTGCACACAGCAGTGTCAGTGGGAGAAACGTTTCATCTCATCCAAGTGACTCAAGTCAAGTCATCTTTATTTATATAGCACATTTAAAAGACATCAAGTGTCGGCCAAAGTGCTGAACAGAGGGATAATGTGATAAAAAGAATTAAAGTAGATAAGATGGAAACTATCACCACTCACAAAGTTTTTCAGTCGCAGTCACGCACAGACAAATCCCACAGTAGTGCAACTGATCACAACCATAAAACAGCCGTTTCAAACAATAACGCTGCAGATGTGGAAGCAAAGTAATTGTGGATGTCTGATCAGGCCTCATAGCACAGAGTGTACCCGGGGAAATTACACCAAGTCTGTATAGTTTGTCTAAGATACACAGCATAAGCAGCTGAGGCCTTTAAACTTCTCATAAGTGATCGTGATTGACTGCGAGGGCTAGTTTCTTTTTGCCATTATGTATTTTAACAGAATGACATCACTAGTCCCCAGAGTCCGTGTCTGTTCCCAGACCAGCTAAATAGAACTTTTGACTCAAACAGTAAAATGATCAAATGTGGACTATCCAGTATTATGTTACTCTTTTCTAAGTTAATAAATGATTTAATAATTGATCAAAATACAGATTTATTTCTTTTCCTTCAAAAACCTGGCTGCAGCTGGATGAATTTGTCTAAATGAATAACCCTCCCAGAGTTCTGCTAAACCGCTGTCTGGGTCCTCACAGCACAGGCTGAGGACGAGTGGCAGCAAATTTTTACTCAAAGAATTATCAAGAAATCCAAATAATTTGACAGATTCCTGATTCATTTGAAAGCCTCACTCTTGGCCTTGTTACCCTCTAACACATGAAGAAGTTTGGTTTTGTTTCTGTCTGATTTCTTAGACTTTTTACCTGAATTGTTGCTCATAACATTCACGTGTATGCGCCAAATGACAACCCCTACACTGCATTGTTGCTCTTTGCTAAATATGAATGAACTGACTGACTGTTTTGATCACACACGACATAGAAACTGACCAATAACCCAAATCTGTCTGGACAGTAACGTCCATTTTACAGTAATGGACTGCACAGTTTCAGTACACTCTTCTTTTTTTTTTTTTTAGGAAAGTGCTGTAAGGCAAGTTTATTTATATAGCACAATTCAACAACAAGGTGATTCAAAGTGCTTTACAGAGACATTAAAAAACAATAAAAAGCATGGTAATAATTTTTTTTAAAGGTGCTTCCTTCTTATCTTCTTCAGTGGAAGAATATGCCACAGCTATGTAAATGTTATTCTCAGAAGTCAAATATCTCGTGTTACATCCTCACTGCATACGTTGCAGAAAACTGTGGCTCCTCTGAAAAAAGCTTGAAATCAGAGGTTTGATCCCTTGATGTAAGACAGATAACTTGTAAACTGGAGAGGAAATGACATGGCACTCATTTAAAAGAACTTTGTTTTGCACGGAAAGATAGTTTGCAGCTCTACAAAAACCCTTCCACAGACTAGGTCATTTTACTACTGGCTACTGATGTAGTAAAATGAGATAACCCCAGGCTTCTTTCAGCACTGTCGCCAGGCTAACAGTCAGGGCCAAGTCTTCCTTTTTTACCTGTTTTATCTGAACTAATAATGAATTTCACCACAAATAAAATGTTCCAGTCACAAAGAAAAAAAATATGTACATTTTATTGCATATGTATACATTTTATTTTTGCGGGTCATACCCAGATGTATTGAGCTATGAAGCTGGATGACACCAATTTAAAGCAGCGGTCCCCAACAACCAGGGCACCGGTACCGGTCTGTGAGCCGTTTGGTACCGGGCCGGGAGAGTTGGGCTCAGCTGTGAAATTTATGGTTAACTCTGTTTCCCGGGGTCTTTTCCTGTGGTGTAGCTGTGTGTCTTATTTTGAAAGAAATATTTACACGTTACCATAGTGACCAGAGAGCGTTAAGGGGCAGAGAGGAGGATGTTACTCTCAGTGTTGTCTGCGAATTTCAGGAGGGCGCTGCTAACAAAGTTACACGATTACACAGTGAATTCACGTTTGCTATTATTATATTTACAAAATACAGTTTTTGTCTTTGTCCTATCAAAGACAGCTTAAAGGTGAAAATATCGTCTGATATTAAACCGACACGTGGCGCAAAAAACGTTGGACTGCTGATTCAAAGTCATGTCTTAAAGACATAAAAGGCTGGCTGACTTCTAATTTCTTACTTCTGATCTCAGACAAAACTGAGATTATGTTACTCGGCCTGAAAAATCTTAGTAACATTGTTTCTAACCAGGATGGCATTAGCTTGGCCTCCAGCAACACTGAGAGAAATCTTGTCCTTCAGGGTCCAAATGAAGCAAATATGTAGCGCTGCTTTCATCCACAGAGCATCTCTAAAGTTATATCCTGTCTATGCTTTGGGGCTGGACTGCTGCAGACCAGGATTAGGAGGTTGTTCTAAAAGTTCCTGAAAAGCCTCCAATTAATTCAAAATGCTGCAGTGGGAGCACAGAGAGAGAGTTATTTCTCTAATACCATGATGTCTTACCAGTTTGGATTTGGGAGACAGACATCCTCTCTTCTTTTAAGATTAGATTCAAAACTTTTGGATAAACCTTATAGTTGGGGCTAAATCAGTAGAGAGCTGTCGGGAATATGTCGCGCAAACCTCAGCTTAAAACTGACTTAAACTCTGCAGAAGACTGCCTGCGCGTCCTCGGTCTTCTTGTGGTGACGTCTTCTTGGCACACCTTCAGTTTGGAAACGGTACTAGTGCTTGTACTGAGTTTACACTTTCAAATGATGACACATAATCGCATGATTTCTCCCCTTATATTACTCGTTGACTCTGACTACATGTCCTGATAGGACTTCATAAAAACCTGTAAGGTAACCAAAAAGACAACACGTGTGGTCGTTACGTAAATTTACAAGTTCGTAATTGTTCCATAAACATGGGCAGCATTACCAGTGTTGGGCAAGTTGCTTTGAAAAAGTAATTAATTATAGTTACTAGTTACTTCTTCAAAAAAGTAACTGAGTTAGTGAGTTAGAAGATTCTAAAAGTAATTAATTACTTGAAAAGTAACTATTGCGTTACTTTAAAAAAAAAAAGTTTAGCCCTCTGGGCTCCAGGGTATAATTGGCCATTTTTAACCACTTTTCTTCCTCACGTGTCTGAATTTACAGTTATGTTTTCATTTTGACAAACTGTAGTAACACAACTGATCTACAATCAGACAAAAAATATAACTTTCTACTCGGATTTTATATTTTTTACTGTAACAACCACAAACATGTTTATTGAATCATATTTCATAACTTTAAATTTCATGTGCACAAGTTTTGCAAACAACAAAGATATTTGCAGCCATTTACCTTTTACCCTTTTTTAAAAAAATAAATAAACTATTTAAGAACAATCAGCTGTTCTTCAATAAGATGCCACACAAGTTATTTGTGCCACTGCAAATATTTCTGTCCACTATAAAGGAAACATCACAGCCTGATACCTGCAGGTCTGACAGCAGCAGGTGTGTCACTGCTGTTTCTACCTGGAGACAGCAGTCGCCTCATTGTTCTGACACACAACACAAAACTATCCACAACACTACACACTAACTACACAAGACAACACATGAACTACACACTCCAAACACGCTAAACGTCACAAATCTCTCACATCTCAAAACAAACATCATGTTGCCATGTCATTTCTGATTGGTCGACATGGTGCATTTTTCCACCAACACGAACGGGCTGTTTTTTGTTTAGTTTTTTGTTTTTTGCTCCTAAGCAGAGAGCGCTCGCTGCGCTGTCTTTAGACGTTAAACGTGACGAAACTATCCAGGAAAAAACACGCGTACATATTTTTTTATCATGACTCTGGTTTTACTGGCCCATCAACACAATTTAAAACCTGGTATATGTCACATTGTTGCTTTGTCATCTTGAAGTGGTCATGTGATTGACCACGACTCTGAGGTCTGTTGTTCGTCTGTGGCACAGTTTTTAAAATATAATCATCCATGTTTGCTTCTGTGGGGAATACGTTACCCGCTGTCTCTGGAATACCACAGCTCCTGCTGATCATGCTGAACTCCAAATGATAGGCAAATGTCAGTGGTTTGCCTTTTACACCTGAGATACTTGTTTTCTTCTTTCAGGTGCTGGCAAGACACAAAGTGGCCATTCCTCATTACAGGGAGTCGGGCAATGGCTTCATCATTGTTGGTAAGTGCATAAACCAAAGGAAGGGGCTCCCAGCGTCTCAAAAACGCTCATTTATCGTACATTTAGCAGCAATCACACATTATTCATCAACCATCTGTGCTAACCCTCTCAGGCTCAAATTAAGTTTTAGTTGCTAATGCACAACCAAGTCCTGCAGTGGTACTTCTGAGTAAAAAAACCTCATAAAATATGTGTGTGGGGGAATCAGGGTGTTAGTTTTTAACTGTTGTAAATCTGCAACGCCTGCCTGGAGAGGGTTGAAACTAATGAAGAAGGAAAAGCATGCCAACAGGTTCCTATTAAACGCTGTATGGCCGAGGATGAAGTAGCTACTTATTATTCTAAAAGGGAAATATTATTGTACATTTAGCCGCTGCTCAGGTTGCTCTACCTGTTGTACCAGCAGCTGGTGCTTTGAACCTCTGCTGTGATGCCTGAGTGAAGCTTCCCTGTTATAAAGCGGCAGGTAATTGGCCAGTAGTTTGATGGTGTCACAGCCTTGTAGGGATCCTTCATAATCAGGACTGTTCTGCCTCTGTTAGCCAGTCCCTTTGTGGTGTTCTTGTTCTGGGAGAGTACTTCACCAAAGCTCTGAGCAGCTGTTCTTAGTTTGTTCTTATTACCATTAAACGTGTTCACAGCACTAAGTATTTCGCATGTTTGAAAAAGCTTTTGCATTATATGAGAAAAGGAAGTTACTCTGTTACCTGTGCTTTTTATAGACACCCCCCCCCCCCCCCCCCCACACACACACACACACACACACAACCAACCTACTGCTGTGTGTTTCCAGGTGAATTTGTGAATGGATTAGCTGAAGGAAAGATTGAAGCAGCGCTGCAGCCGGTCTCTGCACTGCGCCTGGTGGTCCACTCCGACTCCGATGTCTGGGCTCTGCTGAGTGAGGTCTGACCCAAATACTTGTGTTAAGTGTGTTTTTATGCACTTAAAAACAATCTCGTGTAAGAAAATAAATAAATAAAAACAGTAAAAAAAAAAGAAATGCACAAAACTAAAAGCAAGCAGCCATCAAACAAACAGTTCTTCCCTGTTCTTATGTCACATGATGTAATGTGATGTTATGAAACGTATGTGATCAAAGTATCTTGTTGGATTTCTGTCATTCAAGTTGCTGATTCTTAAGATGAACCTTTAAAACGGACTCAGTACCACTGTGGTCAGCTCACAGTAGTGCTAGTAGGCCACATGCTCTGGATGCAGCAGTTTCTCCCATCAGTATCCCAGCCACTTCACATACGGCTGCACCCCCACTCCCACAGAGTGCACTGAAGATCGTCAGGAAACAGGAGTTGTGGCAACTAGTACAAGAAAAGAGTCAATGTTGTGGTTTCATATGGGCTCAAAATGTGGTCATAAATATTTTGTACTTTAACACAAAGTCAGGGCTGACCCGGACCATTGCTGTGAGTCACAGTGCGCAGCATAAAAGTCCTTTCACATCGGACGCAGGATGTGCTGCTAATGCTAACTGCTAACTAAAAGCAAAGGATCCAGAATTTGTTGCTGGCTGCTGGGCTCTGTGGGTTTTTGCAGCAGCTCTACCTGTACTAGATGCACCTGCTCCTTGTCTTTTCTATCTCTGACTTTATGTCCTCTACAAGAGTTTGTTTTTTTTGCTGGTTCTTCAAATGTTCAATAAAAACATGTATGCTAATTCATAACGAAGAAAGCTTTGTAATGAAGACTGTCATTTCCAAAACACTCGCCCCCACCCCGCGGTCCGCAGCGCTGTTGAAAAGGCTGTGGAAGTCCCTGTATTAAACACGTAGACCTGTGACACAAAAATCACCAAACTCGGACGACCACAGACTGTTTTCCTTCGTGGTGATGAAGGAAAACGCTGGGTTGGCATGTAAAAGGGCATTTATTCCCTTCAAAGACCTGCAGTTCAAAAAAAGCGCCCCTCGACAGCCAAACCCATCTGTTCTCTGATTGGATTGTTACATTTGTGATTGACATGACATTGACCAATCAGATGAAAGGAAGAAAAATAGGGTCAAAATTCGTACTTGTAACTTGCAGGGGTTTTTTTTGGCTAAGTCCACACACAAATCTTTTTTACACACACAAATCTTTTTTACACATCACAAATCTTTTTTACCACACACAAACTTTTTACACATACAAATCTTTTTTAAAAGTACAAAATATTTATGACCAACTATTTTACGCCCATAGTTCAACACTTCATTCCTGTTTAAAACAACAGAATATTCATTAAAAACAGATCAGGTAGAAAACCAGGCTTGTTGTACAACCAGTCTGACCTCTTACTCTCTCCCTATGAAGTATGAGGTCAGACTGGAAAGAACAGAAATAATATAGAAAAAAATTATGACGAAACGCCCTTATTGAGCTCCGCTGTTACTTTCACAACTGGGCTTGTGGTGGCATGCAGACATTCAATCACACAGCAGCTAGTCTGACTGAAGTTATTCTGAGGTGCACCAAGTTGTTCCAACATATACCTCATGCATGCGTGCAGGTTTCCCTGCAATGACTCGGTCTGTGAAAATCTACAAAGCTCAGTTTTTCTTTGTGTTACTTGTTAACCTAAACAGTAAGCCAGGAAGAGGTAGGTGGTGGCGTCAGTGGATGCTGTGTGTGGTTAACACTTTTCTTTTTCTTTCTGTCTGTCAGATACTCATTAAAGTTTGAAGACCACAGACAAGAAGGAAACTCTCACTCAGGCTGATTAGTGCGCCACCTGCTGCACAAAGACTTTGTCTACATGGACGTCCAATAAAAGGCTTACATGTGCCTAAACTGCCTGCTATGTGAATAAGGATGAATGGAAGTGTCCAAATTGGCCACAGTGGTGGCTCATATTAGCTGCTTAAATTCACTCCACCCAAACGTTTCACTGATGTAACACCAGAGCTATTCACTGAGTAAATTACTGCACTATTCTATTTTTGTTACAAATAAAGAATATCCGGTATCAAGTTGTCTTGTAAGGATTTCATTTCAGCTCTTTGTTTAAAAACGCAAAACAGGTTCTTCAAAGTCCAAAGAATCCCCTGCAGCAACAGCACTCTTTAGTTTGATGCTCAAAGATGTCAAGTTTCATCTCATCATGCATCTGATACAGGCCATTCCTATAGGCTGTCCAAGTATGGTGACACTCTATATTTTACTTGACGCAAGCAAAATCCAGCATTAAAGCATGCAGAGGATTCTGATGTAGTGTTTGTATCCACAGTCTGATGCTATATGGATGCACAGAAGGTAGCAGCTGCATCAGTTCCCTGAGAGCTAGACACACACTGTAGTTTCTTCTGACTCAATGATACTAATGCACCGCTGATATAAATATAACCGAGCAAAATATTTTGAAATTCACATCTGCAAAAATTTAATATTGCATTTTTTTTGTTCTTGAGCAGCAGGTCTCCAGGCTTTCTGGGGGCCTTTCTTTGGATAGTGGCGTTTGATACTGGTCACTTTCACTCTAGTCCTTTAACTGACCACTTCCAGAGAAATCTTTTGTTTGTTAAGCCACTTAGCCTAAATCTATGAACCATTCAAGCATGAGAAAGGCAGCAAACTCGAGATGATCCAGTGTTGTTTAGACCAGCGGTCCCCGACCTTTTTTGCGCCATGGACCGGTTTAATGTCAGACAACATTTTCACGGACCGGCCTTTAAGCTGTCGCAGATAAACACAACAAAATAAAATGATACGACCAAGACAAAATCTGTGGTATCTTGTAAATATAATAATAAATGCAAATTCACTGTAATTGTGTAACTTTATTAGTTCTTTATTTTATTAGTCCTCCTGAAATGCGCCAACAACACTGAGAGTAGCATCCTCCTCTCTGCCCCTTAATGCTCTCTGGTCGCTATGGTAACGTCTAAATATTTCTTTCAAAATAAGACACATAGTCACAAAGCAAATATAAGGCACATGAAAATATATCGAAAAGTTATAACACACAGGAAAAGACCCAGGGAATCAAAGTTGACCATAAAAACAACTCAGATGTTACACTGTAGCAAAGATACTATTTTAAATTGCATCTTTGTCATCATTTGTACATATTCTTCTTCTTCTTCTCGTTATTATTATATAGTTGAATATACCAAAATTGTTTCTTTCCTTTTTTTAGTTTGACCACCTTTCTGTGTTCTTATTCATACACCAGCTGTTAAATGCATAATGGATGGTATCAGGTCCTGGTGAGCACCTTTAGTTGACTCCGTGAGCGGCAAATAAAACAAAGAGATTGTTAGCTCAAGAAACATCACTTAGAAACGTCATGAAAAGATCGTAACTTTATTTAACTAAGACTTGCCAAGTCAAACTGGCAATCGAACAAAATGTAAACAGTATACAGCATGGTTAAAGAGAAGTTCATCAATCAGCGCACACAGGCTCAAATCAAAATGACACATCATGGTTTTAGCTGTGAACTCAAACAGTGCCACTAGTGTTGTTTAATCCCAACCCGAGCAGCAAGAAAGAGGAAGTGACATCACGCTGAAATGACAAAGACCAGGGGTTTGGAACTAAAGTAGCCATTCAAAGATCTACTGGAGCTGTAGCAATGGCAGCAACACTGACTCAGGATTAAAACAAGGTGTGTCAAACCCATCTTAGATCAAGCCAAGCTCCTCACTAACAAGTATCGAGAGCAGAAGACAGAATTTAATGTAAACACTTCAACATCTGTGGTGTGGAAGTTTTCTTTTTGTGTGTCAGGCCTGTGTGCAGCGCTCAGGAGCAGTAACGTCACCGGTATTTTCAAAGCATCATCTGAACTGTGACAATTGTAATCCAGTGTCAGTTCCTCGGTGATGCCTTCCTGTGTATCAGAAGATCTGCAGGAGGTGTAACACTAACCACACTGACTGGAAGCTAATCTATTATTCTTGTTTCCGCTGATTTACATCTGTGAGCACCGAATACATGAAAACACCGAGACTTTTGTCACACTCACAGAATAGCCATATAAAAGCAAACCATTATTTATTTAATGACTCCAAAACGTACATGCAGTACAGCTCACAAGACTGCTGCCCCTCGGCAGGCTTCCTAAAGGTGGAAACCTAACCACGAGTTCAGCTTGTTTGCTGATACACAAAAGGCCAGTGTAAGATTGCACTTTTGTCTTTGCTTTGTATGTGTGCAAAATGCCAAAAAACAAAGTCTGAATATATGAACATGGCACAAAAGCTGAGCTCTTACGTCTTCTGAAACTCAAAGCAGTCATCGTCGCTTAAACAGGAAGCCCGTCTTACTCACTGATTGGGTCTGGTTTCTTTGTTTACATCAACACATTACACAACAGGATTCTAGAAAGTCTAGTTCCAGGTATCTCACCGGTTTCCTGTTTGTGTGCCACGAGTTTGCAAACATAACTGAACTGACTAACTGTGATGTCCACAGAGTTGGTGTTACAGTTAGCCAGGTGACAGCTGCTTGAATCGTATCTCATCATTTAGATGTTCCAGAAGAACAAATGGGATTGACAGTGTCGTGTAGAAGTGTTCCTCCAACTTCCTGAGGTCTTTTACATATTTGTCACACTTACATGTTTCAGATCAAACAAACGCTCATATTAGACAAAGATAACCGGAGCAAATATAAAATGTAGTTTTTAAATGATTATTAGATTATTTAAGGGAAATAAACGATACAAACCCACCTTTCTGTCCCTACTTATGGTTATTACCCCCAAAGACCAAATAACTGGTTGTGCAACAACTGCTGTCAATTATTTGTGTTAAGTGGCAACGAGTGTCTCACATCACTCAATCGGATCAAGTCGGGATTACTTTTCCCACATAGGTTGGTTTGCAGAGCTTTAACATGTGTAACAATCATTTAAAAACTGCATTTTACTCATTTCAAAGTCTAACTTTTGATGATCTGTAACAAATATGCAAAGAAAATAAGAAATTAGGAAAGTGCTAAACACCTCACAGAACTGTACTTTATGAAATAGGACTCATTATGTGGGAAAAACAGCAAAGCATGTTTTCCTTCTGTAGACTTGCACAGATTTCAGGCACTCAGATATCAGAAGAGGATTCAGGCCAGCTGTCCTTCCTGACACAGCTGAAGTGTGTGTCAGCTCGTGAGTTAGGTTTAATATTAATGTGCAGCTCTGGATCAGGTCTCCCTTTCTTCTTTTTCTTCTGGACATTCTCTTTTAATGAATGCAACACTGGCCACTGCAGCCACGTTACGAAAACAACAAATTCCCTTATTTGCACATGTTAGAGACAGAAACGGGTTTCAGCAGTATTAAAGGGTCCGTGAGTCCAGTCCTCTGGTACGGTCTGGGCTCTGTTAGGGACGGTGGAGGGGTGGATTTAGGTCAGGCCTCTCTGAAGGTCTCCTTACTTTCGTTTGCTCTTGGTGTCAGTGGTCTGAAAGACACTGGAAGCCGACATGAGGTTCTCAATGTACTGACCCAGGACCTGGTTCTCCGACTTCAGCTTCAGGTTCTCTTCCTTTACAGCATCGACTCGGGCAGACAGGTCTGAACACGTCAACAAAAACATCAGTCAACCATACAGGAATGTGGAAACTACAAGGGTGGTAAACGTATTCATTACAGTTTAAAACATCATCATTATCCAAGAATCCATTAAAAAAACACTTATAGCTCCTTCATAGTTCAGCAAACACTGTTATGTTAGGTGCACCTATTCTGTGTTTCCTTCATTTCTGTCACACCTCCTGATCTTTCCACTCTCCAAACACAAAATAAATGTGTGTGTCTGTTCACACAACACATCTCAGTGCTGCACGTGCAACAGGGAAATTATATTTAACCATAATAAGAAGATTTGTATTGATTCAGAAAGTAAGGCAATCGCTGAGGCCACCATCGACCACTGACTTGGCGTGAAACACCAAGGACTTTGTCCACACTGCAGAGACTGTAGGGTTGTGTTGAAGTCACCTTTCCCCACTGATGTTCACTGTGCAACCAGAACTCTCAGAATGAGTTTCTACTATCAGCCAGACGGTGCAGAGTTCAATGGGCCAAACTAAGCTGGTTTAAAAATGAGGCTAAACAGCTCAAATCCACTCTGAGTGATGCAGTGTTGCTGTGTGTTATCAATCTGTGAACATTCTGCTGGCACAGATACATTTATGAGTAACATTCACATAGAGAAATCAACATTCTGATGCTTCCCACTAAAAGCCCATCTACAGTGCGTAAAGTTAGGGGCAACCTTTAAAAATGTAAATGCACAATTTCATCTACAAATCCCAGCGTGACATGAAGCTGCAACACGAGTCTAAGCCACCCCACAAGAAACCTTACAGTTTATATTTAAAACATTCATTTTCCATTCTAGCAGGTAACAGCTGTGAGGCTGCACGTGCCTACCCTCTAAAGTGTGCTGAAGCTCCAACACCTGGTTGATGAGCCTGGTCTTCTCTTCCAGCTCAGCCTGGTTCTCCATGTCACCTGCAGCAGGCGAACGGAGCCGTCAGGCGCAGGAAAGGGTGAACATGCACACTGTGGAGGGGTGTGTGTGTGTGTTGTCTCACCATCCTCTGAGCTCATGGTGAAGTACTCGTCTTCCTTTTTGGAATGCAGGGCTGCGACTCTCGGGGACACTGCAGGAACATTTGACAGTTAAATATCTGTAAGTTAGCTTATCCACTGTTTGTAGCAAAAGCTACGCGTGCTTGAAAACGACCGTACAGCTTTTCACACGTATGTTACACAACGTGATGAAATGCTGTTTACAAAACTGCTCTGGGCAGCTGCCTCAGCTGTCACTTGGCAGTAAACGCTTACATTTTGTTGGCATGCGGTGCACACAATTCTTTTTAATCATCACTTCTGCCACACCTATAATAATAACAACACATTTTAACAAGAGTTTATTATTCTCAGCACACCAGTGCAGCGCCGTGACTAAGAGACAGTGCCTACAACAGCGTTAATAATGCTAACAGCTAACCCCTATGACCGCTTGTTTGTCTGGTATCGGACCCTTCTAAAGGTCATGTGAACCACGGGTATTTTTAAAACTGATCCAAGAGACCAGCTGGCCAAAGTAAACCACACCGTGCTAACAGTGTGGTGCTAACTAGCTGCTGCTATGCTAATAACCGTTAGCCGGAGGCTATTTAAAATAGCTGCCACACGCAGTTAGGTATAAGTCGTAAAATGAAAGGACCCATACCCAGCGACGTGAAAAACAAACGTTGCAGCGCTAAATATCGATAGGAAAATTAAAGACTAGCGTAATTCAGCACAGCTTGAATGTTCTCGGCAGTGCTAGAATTCATTGGATATTATCAGGCACTTGCACCTCACAGCCGCCAGGGGGCGCCGTACACCCAGCTGGGACAAACAACAGAACGACATCATAGTTCATCTTTTCCCCCCTTTTTTCCACTGTTTGCAGTTATTTCATTGTACCACAGTTCTTGCCGGAAACAACACTTAAGGTGTTGCACACTTGAAGGTAAATCGCTTAACCCTTGTATGGTGTTCGGGTCTGTGAGACCCGTTTTCAGTTTTTCTCAAAAGAAAAATTAAACAATTAATTATTTTTTCAACCTGAAATTCATTGGCTTTGGCTTATTTTCTGTGAAGAATATAAATCCGAACTAATTTTCAGTGACCTCATACTGTACCTCCCCCCACGCATTTACATTACATACAAGGTGTTCGGGTCCACTGGACCCAGGTCTAATAAAAGTATTGAAAGTGTAGGTCCTGTGTTCCCATACTCTGTCTTCCTCCTTTCTGGTGCTGCTGGTAGTGTTTTCTTCCCCTCCTGCTCCGCACAAAGTTGCACCATTGTTGAAAATTCAACTATCAACACCGTCTGCTCTTACATCTCACACATTTTACCCTCTTTCTTGAGGGATCCAAATTTTATTTTCTCATACCCTGTCCCTCCTGCAAATTAGGGGCATAATACTATAAATAAGACTTTGCCAGTGTGGTTCTTTATCACAACTGATCAAGATGGCAAAAGATTATCTGCTGCGAGGGCCATCCAATTGATTTTGGAAGAGAGAGGAGCTTTGGATGATGATGTTGACAAAGAGGGTTCAGAATATTTCACATTTCTGAAAATTCAGAGTCTGACAGTGACTTTGAAGAAGAGGATGAGGTTGAGCACCATTTAGTAACAAAACGAAGACGAGTACCCCATCTGCAGCCAGCTCCAGGACCAGAACAAGCCCACCAGACAGCAAGTGAAGAAATATGGATGTCAATAACTGGTGAAATTGAATGGTCTTCTTGCCCAAGAAATGAGCCACCCTGCAGAGCTGTTACTGTGATAAGCCAGGGCCAACACGGCTGACAGTTACTCATGTGCAGGACATCAAGTCTTCATTTGAGCTTTTCATCCCAGATTCCATCCAGAAAATTATTCTGGATTGCAGTAATCTAGAAGGAAGGTGTGTTTTTGGAGAGAGGTGGAAGGAGATGGACCAAATTCATCTAAGAACCCCAAAGGCCTACTTTGGGGTTCTTATCCTTGCAGGAGTTTTCAGGTCCAAAGGGGAATCCACAGAATCCCTGTGGGATGCAGAAACCGGCAAGAACCTTTCCGTGCATCAATGTCTCTGGAAAACTTCCACAAAATTTCCAGGATTATCCGTTTTGATAACCGAGACGACAGACCAGCTCGACGGCAGAGAGACAAGCTAGCTGCCATCAGGACAGTGTGGGATAAGTGTGTGCACCACCTCCCCCTGTTTTACAACCCTGGGCCTAATGTCACCATTGATGAGCAGCTGATGCCATTTAGTTGTGAAACATGTTGCTTCACGTGTAAATGTGTTGTGTCTTTCCACTCACTTCACTTGATTATAACTGATTTATTTTATAACATTTTACATAAAAGAAAAACAAGAAGCACATTAATTCATAAATGTGATCTAACAAAGGTAAAGGGAAAAAATAACCGTGTTTGCTGTTCATATGGTTTGTAATTGGGATGAAGTAAACATCTGATGAGTAATTTTACATAAAATTGTTTGATAGTGTTAATTTGGAAAGCCAAAACTGTAGCGGGTCCACCAGACCCATGAACACTGGCTGAGTAACAAAAATATGAACACCACACAAGGGTTAAAGCCACTCCTTTTTTGAAGTTGGAAAATGCTGTTTTAGATAAGCTATGCAGGCCATGGTCACACAGTTAAATATAACAGATATTTATGCTATTATATGTCTTTGTTCCAAGATTATATTAATGAATAAAAACTAAGCTAAAAGTATAGAGAAAGAAAATAGTTAACTCGGAAAGTAAAACTGAAAAGTTAATCGTAAATACACACATAGTATAATAATAAGGAAACATATACAGCACCGAATCAAACACTGAAACTAATTTAGAAACAACAACAACTGAACATGTAAACCTAGTCTAAACTATAAAGAACTGAAAATATAAACATTGGAAAATAATTCTATAAAAACTTCTACCAAATACAAATAACTTTATTTGTTGGTTTGCACAGTTTGATGACATTTTTCAAAGTTAGATAAGAAAGTATTTGTATAGTATTCCACGCAGCACTCCAATCGAACCCAGCAGAGACAGAATGCCGAGGACAACCAAATTCAGAATAAAGCCAGGTAACCTGCAAACCAGAAAGTACTCAGTCAGCGTGCTGTAATAGGTCAAACATCAGATACTTTAAAGTCAGCGCTGCCACCGTGTGCTTTTAAGTATTTGATATTTTAGTATCATAAAAGACCTTTTCTTGGGGGACGTGGTATATCCACTGAAATACATCTGTCGAGCGACCATGTACACTAGCCCTCCTGCAGCTGCAATCACCTCACTGAAGAAGGTACCACAGGTCCACATCGACACCAGGAAGAGAGGGTAGAACTCCACACAGTTCTGACTGAGAACAAACACAGGTAATGTTAGGACATCCTTGGAGCTCCACCTTGTCCCTACTCTGACTGCAGATCAGCTCCCTCCGCCACACTGCTGCTCACTGATTGTCAGCTCTCTTCTTAACCTAGCTTCAGAAACTCCTTTGAATAACTTCATGGTGTGGTACCAGTAAACTGTTTCTCCATTCCTCAGGCATTCTCTCCCATATCACTCTGTAATCAGACTACTACTTTAAAGTAGTCTGTTTAAACTAGTTTTACCCTTCAGTTCATTTGACTATAGCATTACAATCAGGTCTTCTTACTGTGCACGGAATGTCCTCTCAAATTCTGGAGGTCCAGTGACAACAGGAGGTACGATGTTGTAAGCCATCCTGGATCTTCCTACCCGCCGAGCCAGGTAGCCTGAGAGGAGACAGTGACAGAGGTTTCTTTACATGTTTCTTTGTACAATTCACAAGTATATTTCCTATTTTAGCCACCTAATTTTTTTTTTTGCACAGTTTAATAAATTGTAGATTTTGTTTTCAAGGGATAAAATTGAACATTGGAACAAAATCCAAGCTATGAACTTCTCTCTGTAGACCACCATGATAAAACTGACCAAGCTCCATGAAGTGTCAGTTGAACAGCAGGCACTTCTCAGCTCCTCTGTCTCAAAGCAGATTCGTAGTTGTCCAAATGCTCTACAGAGTCTAGATTCTACCCAGAAGAATATTCTGAGCTTCATGGTGAGCCGTGGTGTTCGCATTATCATGTTTTTGACATTCTCCCCAGAATGATTCCACATTAGAAAATGCATCAACAACAGCCCGATCAAGAATTCCGGTTAACACTGGCCTGGTGATAGTTAAACCTGCACACAATTTTTTTGGGCAAAGAAACGCTTGAAGCCACATTAAAGGCCCACAAGAATCAAAGTCTGAAAATACTATAAGAATACTATACTATAAAACACGGCAACATATACTGCTCAACATATGTGCAAAAAGTGGAGATTGCTCAGTATAAATCAATAAACTAGTATAAAGGGGAGGACCCTCTATCGCTGTGCCATTGAGAGCATCCTCACTGGATGCATCACCACCTGGTACGGCAACAGCACCGCCTACAACCGCAAAGCTCTCCAGAGAGTAGTGCGGTGCTCTGAACGGATAATTGGAGGTGAGCTTCCCTCCCTCCAAGACATCTACAGGAAGCGGTGCCTGAGGAAAGCGGGGAGGATCATCAAGGACTCCAGTCCCCCCAGCCATAAACTGTTCAGACTGCTTCCATCAGGAAGGAGGTTCTGCAGCATCCGGTCCCGTACCAGCAGACTGAGAGACAGCTTCTTCCATCAGGCCGTCAGACTGCTGAACACGTCATAGACACCTCAGCTTCACTACTGGAACTTTAACATTATGCACTCCATACTGTACAGTAATGCCACTTGTTTTGCACAATATCCAACTAACAACCTCTGTATATTTACAGATATATATATACAAATAATTTCCCCCAGGGATCAATAAAGTATTCTGATTCTGATTTTATATATTTATTTTATTTTAACTCTATTTAATTTGTAAAATATGTGCACACACACGTAGACATACATATTTAGTATACACATTCAGTAATGTGCATACACTCTTATATTGTACACATATTTCTTCATATAATTCTCAGATTTAGCCATTCTTATATTTGCTTATGTTATTGTACTTTGCACACCTCTGTTGCCTGTGAAGCTCACACACAAGAATTTCACTCACATGTGCTGTACCAGTGTACCTGCACATGTGATGTGACAATAAAAGTGATTTGATTTGATAAATGCACACATTTAAAATAATAAGGATGTTGTTTGCATTTAGAATGTATGTGCTTTTCTGTGTGTGAAACCATGTTCAAGCTGCTGACAAGAGGAAATCCGCATAGATGTGATCTGACGATCACTAAATGAGTGGAGTGCTAAGTGTAAAACTTGCCTAGTCTTGCTGTTGCACAGTACACAGGAGTGGGAAACCACACCCACATTATTATTAAGTTGGGACAATACCTTGACACGCACAACATCCATTAAGCTGCTGTGTTTTACTTACCCATGTGCAGAACTGACAGCAGGGACACTGCAGCCAACAAAAGAGGGGAGTCCGCTTCCATCAGACTGTTAGGAAAAAACAGCCGTCCTCACAGTTTGCTCCTAAACACAAAGTCAGCTTTACATAACAAATAGGAGGTACTTCCTGGGGCAAAGGGACTTTAGCACATCCCACAAGTTCTGCAAGTAAGCAAGTCCCGTGACTCTTGTGCAGCTAAAGATCTGCCATGAGTGGGCAGGGCTCTCTATGAACTCTATCACTAACACTCCACAAGAAAAACCTGGCTAAAACTTTAATACCTGCTGTTAGTTTATCATCAGCATATCATACAGTCATATATGCACATGTATAAATGCATGCACAGAACTGAACAATTAAAGTGTGATGGTCCTTAATTACAGTGGCTCCAGCTTCATTTATCATGCCACTGTATACCACGCACTGTTATCAGTGTGAGTTTATTCTGCAGGCCTGGTACTGTAGGGGGGGCATTTCTTAGAGCATAGTCCAGGGGTCGGCAACCTGCGGCTCCGCGTGGTTTGAAAAAAAATTATAAGTATTTAACTGAAGTGTATTTTATTTGTGTTAGTTCTTTTTTAACTTCTAGTTGTAAATTGGAAGATTATCGTGGTCTTCAAATGTCAAAATAAAATCATATGTTATTATTTTTCATCGCTCAAAATAAGCGTCACACTCGCATGAACCATATCAGCCGAAATGCCCTGCATTTATGGAGACTGTCAACCCCAGGCAGGCCAAGTATGGAGCTTCGGATCCACATACGTATGTGAGCAGCTGTTCTCCACCATGAACTACGGTAAAAACAAACAGCGCTCACGCCTCACAGACGGCAGCTTACAGTCCTGCGTAAAGACGAAGTGACTTCGTACAGCCCCGATTTGCAGACGCTGTGCGCCATGGCAGACCCAGCGATGTTTGCAAATACATGCTTTTTTTTCCTTTATTGAACATTTTTACACATTGTTGCTGTAGCCACACAGCCAGCGGTAGTTTTCCAGTTCACAGCCCGACACATACCGACACAAACTTTAAGCCGGGGGGGCTTGATTGCGGATGCCGCTCAGGTGCGTCCGCCTCCCCTGTAGCGTGCAGACCACGCCCCGCCACACACGTCAACCACTTAAAATAAATATTTATACAGATATTTTGCAAATATTTATTTTTCATTTTTTTTAGCAGTTGAGTGAATTTTTCCAATTACTTTTAAAATTCAGCTCAACGCTACAGTTTTTGTTTGGTATATGAATAATTTAAGTTCAGCTTTTTAATTCATTTAAAGGAGACCTTCAACTGTCTTTCCTTTGTGTTATATTTTTTAAGAGTTCAAAATGTGTTCATTCCATAAATAAAATTTAATTTTCTCTGTAGAAGTTCATTGATTTCATAAGCAACACAATACAGGTGTTTATACAAAGCATAACAATAACAGTGTTATCTTCATTTTAGATGACAAAAAGTATTTGCGGCTCCCAGTGTTTTCTTTTCTGTGGAAACTGGGTCCAAATGGTAGACAAAAGTCCGTCGAGACCAAGACCGGTCTCGAGACATCCAACTCTAGCAAATGGCTCTTTGGGTGTTGCTGACCCCTGGCATAGTCTGTATAAACTGCAATTGTATGTGAATGCTACGACAAAATATAATGTATGTATTTAATGTTTGAGAAATGAATGATTACATCTGTATGGAAGCTTTCACCACATATTTTTTGTTTGGACATAGTGGTGATTGGTTGATTTTAGTGGATTTGTAGGTGAAAGAAAATTGATAATGAGAAGATGTTGGGTAGGTATGGACATGAGAGTAAGAGGATGACATAAAGGAATGTTAATGAATCAGGAAGTATAAGGAGGAAGTGAGGGCAGCTGTGGAAAGGTAGTGAGTCCTGATGATTTACATGTGGAGGTATAGAGATGTCTGAGAAACAGGGCAGTGGACTTTTAAACCAGATTATTTAACACAGTTTTGGAAAGGACGCCTGAGGAACGAAGAAGTGTTCTGGTACTGATCTTCAACAAGGATGCAGCTATAGGAAAATCAAGCTGATGAGCCATACAACGAAGTAGAAGCTAGAGAGGTGACGGTCAGCGAGCAGCAGTAGGGCTTCATGCAGAGAAACAGTGTTGAGAGAGTTCATGAAGACGTACAAAGAAGGCAGGTGTAAGACTGAAGCTGCAAGGAGTAGATGGAATGAGGAATGGTTGAAATACCAGGAGTCAACCATGTACAGAGGCATTTTATAGAGAGGTGATGGAGAGATTGTGACAGAAGGATAGGAGTAAGAGTGAATGGGTGGATTTACAAAATGGCAGTAGGACCTGTTATGATGTTTGGTTTGGAAGTGATGCCACTGACAAAAAGACAGGTGGCAGAGCTGAAGGGGCTTTTCCCCTGGGAGTGACCGGCACTGACAACATTAGAAATGACCACATCAGAGGGACAGCTCAGGTGGACTGCTTTGGAGATGAAGCTGAGCAAGTTTGCACATGCATGTTGACAATGAAGTCGCCCGGCACAAGGAAAAGAGGAAGACCACACAGGACGTTCATAGATGTAGTAATGGAGGACACGCTGGTGTGACAGAAAAGGTTAGGGTGAGATGACCTTTTCTTCTTCTTAGTGCAGAAAGAAGAAGAACATGTGACCTTATAGCTATAATGGTTATTTTGTGGAAAACCCCACTTTGAGCAGCGACGGCTAAGAAATGCCATTAAATGTTTACAGAAATTCTTTATGTAAATGTTGGCTCTACTGGGGGGGTCTAAGTGCACTGTCAGTTTATTTACTCTTGTGATTTTTTTTATTAAAGTAAGCTCGTTGAGATTTCTTATTTTTAATAATAACCTACTAGTTTTAAACACGCTATATTTCCGTGCAAATATAATGAAATGCCCACGAAACGTGTGGCATGTGAAAAAAGGTGTCCCCGGTTGTCATGTTACCGTCCCCAAACGACGCCACATGGGTGGCAGGAAAAGCAGTCGAAGCCGTGGTGCGGTCACAGCGGTCTCCTGCAGCATGGACAGCGACGATGAAAATGTAGAAGAGGTTGTAGAAGGTACGTAACCTCTGCCATTCGTGCCGTGTACGCGTGAACGCCTGCATTTGCACCGTGGAGAAGGTATTCTCAGCACTTTGGCTGAGTGGTGTCGATTGTCTTTAAACAAATGTTCATGAGTGGATCTGTCGGCGGGCCTGCTCGGGAGCTCGCAGCGCCAGGCCCTCTGTTTGACAAGGAGATCCGCCGGTCAGGCGCGTGAGGGCGGTGTGTGGGGTATTAGTGCTCCGCTGCCAGCGTGGCTGCTGTGTTTAGTCAGCAGGGCAGGAAGCGCAGAATGACACCAAATGTTACTTTTTGTTGTAGTGCTGCACTCGTTGCTGCGCGTCTTTGTTGTTAGACTAGCACCACCGTTACACGCGGGTTCTTTCTCCCTCGTTCAGAGGCTGGACTGAGATTTCACTGCGTCGGACTAAAGTAGTGCTGTCGCGTTAGGAGACCCGGGCTGAAAGAAACCCCGCTGTGGCGCACACAGTGCTGAAAGCTACGGACCCGAAGCCCCCGTTAGCACAGAGCTAATCACAGTGCTCTTTCAAAGGAAACCGACTGGTCACGCTGTAAGAAGTCAGAAGGTTTAAAAAGCCCCAACACCGCCGTAAAGGGTTTCTACCCACCCCGACTAAATAACTGCCCTCAGAGGTTGAAACGGTTTAACCCGTTTCCCTGACTCAGCACTGCTTTGCACGTTGGAAGTCTGGCCTACTGAATTCTGCAAATACAACGGTATCGTGTTGCGCTGCTGTTTGTTTGCCTCATTTATATTCTAGCTGTAACTTAGTTTCATTTGCTGTAATCTCAGTTATCTACTCACTGTGAGTGAGTAGCAATTATGTACGAATATGCTGTCAACCAAACTCTCACATAACACATATTAAGAAATGTTATTGTTACTTGGTGGTTGGTTAAAAGTGTGTCGAGTTGAATTTATTTATTTCCAGGAGTGTAGCTCAGTCAGTGATGTGACTAGCACGTGCAAATGAAGCTTTTATTTCCACTCCAGCATCCACTACTGATGCTTCCTTTTGCAATAAAAGAGATTTTAGTTGGTGTTTTGTCGCCAGCATTGCCGTTTCATTTCCTGACTGAAGTAAAATATTGTAACTGGTTCCGTGTGTCATTAACAACTAATGGGAACTGATTGAATTATTCTTCTGTTCGAGTTTTCTTTGAAAGGAACTTTAGTGCAATTAAACAAAGAGGAACAACAGTGTTTGGTGTTTAATTGCATTAGAGCCTGACTGATTTATCAGCAGGCTGATGATATTTGCCGGATTATCGATGGAAGAACCTATAAATCCAATAAAAAGAAGAGATGGGAGAAGCACTCAACAACTTTGAGTGTTGATGTTGCAGTTTGTCCTTCAGAGGGCACTCTTCAACGTCATTGCTTTTTAATTTGCATTGTCACGATCTTATCACAAAACCTGTGATATTAGAAACCTGGGTTACTAAATCACCAAATATGAGTATCAGTCTTTAAAGAAACAAAAAAACAAACCTTGTATCAGTTGGGGTTTAATTTCTATCGCCGTGTGTAATGACCAAGTGTTTCTGCTGAGCTATGTCAGCACCACTGAAGAAACCACCTGATGTAACCTGCACTGAACTTCTGGAACATTGAAGGATACTTTGTTTAGTGTGAGGATTTTGAAAATAATGACCCATCTATGCTAAATAGACTTTAGGCATCATTTGGTTCATACTTTACAAATCACAACTGAAGTTTTGGTTGGATGTGACGGTTAAAGCAAGAGGTTAACAAGTAAGTTGTTGGAGTAGACCGAGAGAGTAAAAAATAGAGATGTCACTGTTAGCAAAAGTGTCCAAAAACAAATTATTAGAGCTCTAGACTGACATGTCCTTTTAGCCAGGTGCCTCTGTAATCATCCACGGGTCTTGTTGCTGCTCCATGAGGGACGTGGCTAAAATGTAACAGTAGATACAGGAAGTGCTTTAGGCGTTTAAGAAAGGGGCTTGAGGACCTCAGCAGAAACCTTTACAGGCTTTATTTGTAGTACTCGTTTAAATCAGCTGAACATGCTTTGTTTAGTATTTTGTGGTAGATCCATGAAAACAAATGGATGGGCCTATCTGGGATCTATTTCTATAACCTGATTTCATTAAAAACTCATCACACTGAAACATTGTGTCTGCATGAACTTTCAGGTCCATTGGATGAAGATGGTCAGCCCCATGGTTTCTGCACTGTGACCTACTCGTCCAGTGATCGCTTTGAAGGACATTTCACCCATGGAGAGAAAAATGGCAAGGGCAAGTTCTTCTTCTTTGATGGAAGGTACTGTAAACATAACAAACTAAGGACTTAAATAATCTGTTAGGATCACTGATGGGGACGTAAATCTGACATTACTTGAATTAAAAACATTTACTATATCTGACCGCTGTCACTGCCAGATATGAAAGATGTATGTTCTGCATTTATCTGACAAACGCCTCATTATTGTGGATATTTTGGTAATAATAAAAGAAAAGTAAGATTATGCATGTGACAGCAGAGGACATGGCTTTGAGCAGCGGTCAGTTTCCTCCAAGGAGAAGCGTGTAACACTGCAGGAGCAGTCAGACGCAGGTATTGTGATAGTGTGCTGTGCGATAAGTGAACATCTGTGTTACTGCAGCTGTGTAATGGCACCTTTCCAAAGCTGCATATGTATTTGCCAATAGAAGGTTTTGAGACTTACTTATTAATACTGTGTTAATGCATGTGTGCTTTTCAGTAGAAAAACAGAGTAAAGTTCTTGAGCATTACAGTTACAAACATTACTGGATTACAGGCAGCAGCATCAGAAGTAAACAAGAAAACAACTACTCTCCTCCTCCAAGTCCAAACATGCAGTACAACACATGACTGAGCGGCTTGCCCCGTAGATGGAATAGATTATTAATGGGACCATTGCAGATATACCAACACAGTCTGATTGTGGGCTGCCAGAAAACCTGTGACCAAACCTGTCCGATGTAATTGCAAAACCATCACAGATGTAATTTCCTTTTAAAACTACCCCTAAAATTGTCTTGCAGTATACATTGAGTTATTTTATGCCATACCACCACTACCTCTCTCAAAACAATACCACAGAAATGTGAAAAAGTTTTGTTTGTTCTTTTTTAATAAATGATATCATATGGCTGATATAATGATAATATTATGTTGTACTTTTTAGAATGTCAGCACTGGTTTTGTTTTTCAGGATTAAAGTTTGTCCTGAATAAGAAGGACTAGTTAGACAAACCTCAGAAAGAAATACTGGAGACATAAATAACCTTCGTCTGGCCCTATTCACCTTGAAGATTGAATTTAGACTTCAAATGTAAAAATCTTAATTGCAGTTGTCCTTCTTTTGCCTCTCACAGCACTTTAGAGGGGTTCTATGTAGATGATGCTCTGCAGGGCCAAGGAGTGTACACCTACGAAGATGGGGGCGTCCTCAACGGGACATATGTGGACGGAGAGCTTAATGGGCCTGCTCAGGAGTTCGATGGCGAGGGTCACCTGGTGTTCAAGGGCCAGTACAAAGACAACAACCGCTGTGGGGAATGCTGGGTCTACTACCCTGTGAGTCAGCTTACTGTCTAACTTCTGCTTATACAGAACATAGCAGAAGTATTTCTAACCATGTGTATTGTGCATGTTGGCGTGTACTGTGGTGCGTCTAGGACAGAGGCTGTGTGTTTGGGGAGGTAAACGAGGACGGGGAACTGACTGGTGACTCTGTAGCGTATATCTACCCTGACGGTCGAACGGCTCTATATGGAAGCTTTGTGGATGGGGAGCTCATTGAGGCCCAACTTGCTGCTGTCATCTCCAACCAGACTGGGAGACCACGCTTCGAAATCAGCCCCAATAGTAAGGAGTGATGCCAACGTCCACATTTGTTTGTCGAGACTTTTGTTCAGGAGTTGATGCATTTAATAAGAAATTGCCCTTTTCCTAAAATTGATTATGTTGGATTTTCAAGATGCAAAAGGCTAAAGCATTAATAGATGTAAATAAATAATAATACATTTATTATCAAGAAACTGTGTTGTGGTATAATGCATGATGACATGGATTGTTTCAGTGCAATGTAATATACTGGAAACGTGATGATAGAAACCTCAATCATGTGCACGGGCAAGCTGTTAAATTGTTTAGCAGTTTAATAGCTTGCAGCTTGACAAATGGACCAGACTAAAACATCCCATTTCATAATTTGTACTTCCTGTGTGAAAGTCTCTCCTTTGCATTTTGCTGCACTCTGCCTGGACAGCTTTACTTTCTGCTCCTACCAGGTTTAAGAAGATTAACATATAACCAAGTTCACGGTCCATGGATGCTAATATGAAAGTTTTCGGTTGAGCCAAATTGTGAAACTGTGTTAAAACCTACAAGAGCTGATCTTATGTTCTTGAAAGCTTCCCCTTAAAGTTCTAAAGGATTTATTAAAACTGCTTTAAGTTATACACTAACTTCTTCACATCATCACTAAGTGCTGCTCCTCTCTCAGCTGGTCAGTGTCCAGAAACGTGAGACACAACAACTATTAATATTTAGGCTAGTTTCAAGAGCCGAAAGCCAGCAGGAGCCATGGATGCAACCGTTTATTTAAGCTGGCTAATGTGACTGAACAGTTCTGAGATATATGTAGAGGAATTACTGTCACTTTGGTATCATTCTAATTGAAGTTTGTTTTTTTACATTTCACTCATTAACCAATGCTGCCTTGCATGTGCTGTCCACCACCCATGCTCGTGTCATTTCCTCTGGGCTGGTTAATATGGTTCCACGTGTATTTCATGGAGAAAGGCCTGTGGTTAAAGAATCCCACTAATCTGACAATCTTCTTTTACAGGTCCTGTGTACTCGTATGACAAATCCACATCCACCTGTATCGCCACCCATACTCTGCTTCCAGATCCTTATGAGAGCCAAAGGTAGGTACGTTTTATAGGAATCCTGACCAATCACATTGTTCCTCTTGAATTCGTGGTCAGTATTTCATTGTCTTGCCCCTGCCTCTGTTTGTCAGAGTGTTTGTGGCAGACTCTACAATCAGAGGAGCAGGACAGGGACTTTTCGCCAAGACAGATGCTGAGGCCAACACTGTGATGGCTTTTTACAATGGAGTACGCATCACCCACTCTGAGGTATGAAACACAGACCACAAACAACGCACCAAGGTCATTAAGAGTCATCATGTAGCAAGTTCAAATATCCAG